ATGCTGTTTCTATGGTATTTCTTTTTCCATTAATTTAATTTAAACTTATCTGTAACAAAGTTTCTCTCTTAATAGAATATAGTTGTTCTTTTTAATCCACTCTGATAAACTCAGCCTTTTAATTAAGGTATATAGTCCATTAACGTTTAATATAATTACTAATATGGCTGCATATAGGGCTAAAATTGTATTAGTTTTCTGTTTGCTTCCTCTGTTTCTTGTCCTCTATTCCTTCTTCCCTGCATTCTTTTTGGATCATTTTTTTTTTTAATTTTGTATTCTAATGGAAGTGAGCTGCAGGCAGGCTGATGGTAACATGGCTCAGAGGCTGTTCGCAGAGCGAGTTTGAAGATGAACGCCAGAGGACTTGGATCGCAGCTGAAGAACAGTTTTCCAGTTACTGAACTTTCAGCAAGCAGACCTTTCGAAAGTCATGATCTACTTCAAAAAGGTTTTTCCTGTGTGAAAAACGAACTTTTATCCAGTCGTCCTCTGGAATTATCAGAAAAAAACATCCAGCTCAACCAAGATAAAATGAACTTTTCCACACTGAGAAACATCCAGGGTCTATTCACCCCACTAAAACTGCAGATGGAATTCAAGGCAGTGCAGCAGGTTCAGCATCTTCCATTTCTTCCAAGTTCAAACCTTTCCCTGGATATTTTGAGGGGTAACAATGGGACTATTGGATTTGAAGACGTTCTTAATGACCCATCACAAAGTGAACTAATAGGAGAACCGCACTTGATGGTGGAATATAAACTCGGGTTACTGTAACACAGTGTGCTGTTCATGGAAACACAGAGGGGCTGCAGCACATTTCTAGTCATCTTCTTACTATAATTTCATGTACACATTAAAAGTACTGACACATCAGACTTGTTAAAAAAATTTGTATTCTATTTCATCTATTTAGTAACTGTCTTGGAGATAAAAACATAAATTCTTGACCTTTTACAGTCTAGTTAGAGTAAATTTCCTACTATCTCATATAAAATTTGAAAACCTTGCAATTCTGTAAGTCTATTTATCATCTTCCCATTCTTTATGCTAAAATTGCCACATGTGCTACATCTACACACAGTATATTATAAACAACATAAGGCAGAGCTATAATTTTTGCATTAAAAGGTCCTATTTATTTTAAAGATAAAAATATTCTTTTACATTTATGATCTCTGATGTTTTTCATTCCTTCTTGAAGACTTAAGCTTCCACCTGATGTTATCTCACTTTAGCCTAAACAACTTTCTTTAGCATTTTGTGTGGTATAGATCGACTGGTAATGAATTCTCTTAGTTTTATCTAAAAAAGTCTTTAATTTTCTTTTATTCTCAAAGGATATTTTCACTATACATAGGTTTCTGGGTGTTTAAAATTTCTTTTCCTCCTCTGTAAAAATTGTTTCACTTTTTCTGGCCTCTGTAGTTTCTGCTGAGAAATCAATGCTCATTTAAAGCACTGTTCCCTGGATGGTAATGTGCCATTTTTCTCTGGCTACTGTCAAGATTCCTCTTTATTGTTGGTATCCAGAAGTTTGAGTACAATGTGCCTATGCGTGGCTTTCTTCAAATTTATTCCATTTGGGGTTTGTTGAGTTTCTCGATCTGTAAATTTATGTATTTCATCGAATTTGAAAAATTTTTGTCATTATTTCTTCAAATACTTTTCTGTCCCATTCTCTTTCTCTTCTTCTTCTGAGCATGTTAGACATTTTTATTTTTGTTATTCAGAACTTGGAGGCTGTGTTCACTTTTTTTTCCTGTTCAGTATTTTAAATATTTTTTCTTTATTTTCTTCAGAATAAAAATTTCAATTGATCTATCTTCAGGTTCACTGACACCTTCCTTTGTTAATTCTAACTAATGTAAGTCCATTCAGTGAATTTTTATTCTAAATATTGTATTTTTCAGTTCTAGAGTTTCCATTTGGTTCATATTATGTTTCTATTGACAATATTTTTATTCATTTTGAGTGCATTTTTTTTTTGTCCTTCATTGAGTATGTTTATAATAGCTTTTTAAAACTTTTTGCTAATTCACACATTTGGGTGATCTTCAAATTGGTCTCAGATAATTGCCTTTTCACTTCAGAATGAGTTACATTTTCTTGGTTCTTCATATGCTATGTAATTTGGGGTTGTAACATGTGAATGTATGAATACAAATATTATGCAGTGAAGCCTGCTAGAGTTCACTGATGAGCACTGATTTATTTGTTTTAGCAGGCAATTAATTTGGTTATACTCAAATTAAAAACTATCTATTTGAGGTGGCAGCTCAAATGTCAGTTCAGTTCTTTTACCTTTAGCTGTGCTAGTTTGTGTCTGCTCCATGCACGTGTGTTTCAAGAGTCAAAAATTTGGGTAGTGTTTATACACAGAATTGGGAGCATCCTCTGTCTGCCTCTTTCTTTTACAGAATTCTAAATTCATTTTCCATTGATTGTGGATGCCCTGAACTCTGTTCTTTGGATCTTCAAACCAAAAAGACTGTGTGATTTCTACTAGCATTAGCCACCTCAACACATTAAGTTTAGCCTGCCTTTGGTCTAAAAGTTGTAAAATGGAGAACTCACTCTGCATTGGTTCTTGCATTTAAGTTTTGAATTTCAATTCCCCTCTAGAATCTGCCTGCTATTTCCACTCTCTAGTACCTTCACATAAGTTTTCCCTCATACTTTGTAGTTGTTATCTGTGAGAATGTCAGGTTCAGAAGAGCCATGCTAAAAGCAGAAACGAGTAAAAACATTTAGGAAACATTCCTTTGCATTTCCTAGGTCCTCTCCTCAAAATATTTAACCTCTACCTATAACCTCATCTAGTGATATTTGCTTTGGATTTTAAATAGAAATATAAGTCAGACTCAGAGCTTCCTTGATCATCTTGCCAAGCACATGAGAATATGTGGAATGAAAGCATAGCATAAAGTTAAATCATAAAAATGATAAATCAGCCATCAAATCTGGCTCTTAGACTGGCAGCATCTAATCTCAAAGCAATGAGACTTCTATAGGATCATGACTACCTAACGTTATCTACATGGTATTTTGCCATGTTATTTACTTTACTTTTTTTTTTTTTTGGTTTCAGACATCTCTATATGCAGCCTTGTTGAAATCTTCAATAAGAAATATGCTAAGATAAACAGAATATTAAAATAACACCTTTTAATACCAACAGAGAAGAGGTAAGTGGACATCTCCATCTAAGAATAATCCTTATGGCTTTTCTTGAGGGGTTCTATGCACCAGGCACCTTGCTAATCATTTTATATAAATTGTCATTTAATCCTTCATGACCAGTCTATGAGGCGGATCCTATAATTAGCCTTTTTTTATGGAGGAAATAACCAGAGTTCAGAGAAGTTAAGTGAGTTAACTAAGACCACACAGCAAACAGCAGAAATCCAAGTCAGTCCTCTTCAAGAGGACAAACAGCAAAGAGTATATATCAGGAGTCATGAACTACATGCCATTTACTTTAGGAGAGAAAAAGAAAAGTCTTTCTAAGCAAAAAGGAATAAGTGAGGATTCTAAAACTTAAGTTATATTCTACAATACCTCTTTCCACTAATTATTGATATTAGAAACCCCTTCTTTCAGATATATATTTTACATTTTTTTTTTAAAAAAAGCCTTGCTCCAGGACTTAAAAATACTGGCCAGAGAAATTACACAGGATCAAATAATTCCAGGCAAAAACTCATAGTAAAGAAGCTTGCAGTACCAGTGCTCCATTTCATCTCATTTCATTTATTGTCCTTTTTACATCTCTGTTTTCAAAAAACAAAACAAAACAAAAAAACTCTCTAAACAGACAGGTGATTCACCAGAGAGAAATCAGGCACATTAGGAAGTGAAGATGCCTGCTTCATCCTACCACAACCTGCATTTGGTGAGTACTTCTAAAAGATGCAGCAATGTCTCACAGTCTTACAAATTTTAGGGGAAATCCTGCCTCACTCTGGAAACTTTGCATGAACCCATTGGTTTCAGGTGACTGTGGAAAAAGAGAGAAAGGAAGGCACGGTCAATGGTTACTAGGTTGATAGTGTAAAATTGAACCAGAAGACTGGGTCTTGATTGAAAGCAAGAAAAGGAATATAGTATCTTTGCGTTCTGACAAATGGGGCTAGTCAAGATTTATGTTTCTATATGCATGTGCTAAATTGTTTGCTGAGACCTCAGAATGGGAAATAGAATTAAGGGAGTTAAGATGAGAAGGGGTGATAAAAAAGGAGAGCAATGTATACACATGAGTTCTAGGGAGGGGTTAAATGAACATAGTCCACTGATGACATCCAGGGGAAATTTTACCATATTTTTTCATTTCTCTTCCTTTACTGCCAATTTTAAAATACGTACTCAAGTTATCCAGTGAAACCATTCCCAGGCATATGAAAACAAGTGATTGTTTTGCCCTATCTTTAAGTCTTTTTATAAGATTTATGCTTCATTGGTCTTAACATATGCCATAGGACTTACTCTGACCAGTAATGATCCCATATTATTTTAAAAGATAGGTTTCATATAAGAAGCATTTCCCTTCTGCTACTAATTTCATTTCAGTTGCATGATCATTCTCAAAGCCATGCGAAGCATAATAACCTTGACTTTGTAACTCTTTAACCTTACTTTTACTCATAAAAATTATTAAATATGTGTAACTGTCTGGTGGGGGGAGAATAATATAATAGCATGTCAATCAGGTAACAGTTAAGCTACCTTTCATGGAAAGGAAAGGTAATGCTTTCTTCAAAAAGTTAAGTCATCACTCCTTTGTTTAACTGACATAATATTTATACCCCAATTTTAAAATGGCAGCTACAAATAGAAGTCTAGAGAGGGTAAATTCTCTAAGGGAATCGAGCCCTGAAATTTTACCATTTTAAAAGTTCTATTTTATATGTACATAAGGATGTTGCTACTATTATAAGGATGTCCATGTAAGTCAATTATAACAAACTCTATTTAAAAAATTTAAATTAAGTAAACACTACCTCTCCGACTACTGCTTCTTCCTTGAAGTACTCAGTGGCAGGATGCACAGAGCTTTTACAGAGGGTGTAGGCAGACAGGTGGTCCTGGGATACCTACATCATGAAAAAGAATTCAGATGATTTTGTCAGTGATCTGAATGGCTCCTAAGTACAATTTCATTAGGAATAATTTCAATAAATGCTAAATTAGCTGACTCCATCGGTTTTGTTAAAAGGGCACAATAAAGGTACATGTATGATTTCTGGAGGTATTATCATTACTCTGCCTACAAGAGACTGTGGCTCAAGAGTAGCTTAAAGTGACTCATACAAAATCACTTAGAGGAAGTGGCAGAATAGTGCCCTGACACTCCATCTTCTAATTTCTAGTCTCAGACTGTTCTGGCTGCATTATTTGACACCCCTCAGGAGCTGACAAGTCCTGGCTCTGGGCCATTCTCTTTTGCAAAAAACCGAAGCCAACCCACAAGTCTGATAGAAAGAGTATTTTTCTGGTTTTGTGGTGGTCTATGACAAATCACCTTTCTGAAGAGTATTTTGTGAGTCCCTTTACTTTCTTTCCTTTGAAACCCTGGTATCCACAAGACTCTGAGGGACTCTGACAATGGAAGAAACAAGGTTTTTGGTTCAACTGACCTGAGTTTGAACTGTACTATAGGCATTTACTATCTCTGTGCCTTATACAGCTGCTCAACTTCACTGAGCCTCACTTTCTCCCTCTGTCAAATGGGCATAATAATATTTGAGGGGCATCTATCAAGAGGATAATTTTTTTAAATGAGGGTGAAGAACCATGGACAGTTCCTGGCACACATTAGGTACTCAGGCAAAGTGAGAGCCCTGTGCTCCACCTGACTTGCATGGATAACTCCAAAGCAGGTAAATAACTAAAAACTGACAACGACAATATTCTAATCCTCCAGCTGGTCAGTTCCTCTTTGCTCTGACCTCTACCTTTGCTTTTCCTTTACGTGCCTTCTTAGAAATAAAAGTATCATAATTATAAATACCTATTCATTTCCTAAGATTATGCAAAAAAAAAATAAATACTTATTCATTTCCTAAGATTATGTTAAAAAATAATGTAAAGAAATAATTTTATTTCTTTATCTAATGGTTTTCCTCCATAGCATGCTGCACAATCTGCTCAGTGCAGTAACTGAGCACAGATAATCATTCATCCAACAAATATTTATTGAGTTCCGACTAAGGTGTCAGGCACTATTCTCTACAGCAGTGAACATAATAGCCCCAAATCCTGCTTCCATGATGGCTACATTCTGGTTGGAAAGACAGACAACAAACATAATAAAAATGTAAATACATAGTTGGTTAAATAGTACTGAGTGCTCTGGAGAAACCTAGAGTGGGAAAAGAGGTGACAAGTATTCTGAGTTGAATTATGGCCTTACCGCACACCCATCCCAAAAGCAAAAAAAAAAAAAAAGATACACTGAAGTCCCAACCTCCAGGTCCTCAGAATGTGACCTTATTTGGAAATAAGATCATTGCAGATGCAATTAGTTAAGATGCACTCATACTAGAGTAGAGTGAGCTCCAGTGTGACTGGTGTCCTTATAAGAAGACGCTGGGTGAAGTAGAGATGCACAGGGAGAACACCATTCGATGACAAAAGCAGAGACTGGACTTATGCAGCTGCAAGCCAAAGAATTCTAAGGATCAACAGTATTCCACCAGAGGCCAGGAAGAGGCAAGAAAGGACTTGTTGGTTGCAGAGGAAGCACGACACTGGTGACACTTCAGTTTAAAACTCATAGCCTCCAGAACTGTGAGACAATAAATATCTTTTGCCTTAAGCCACCCAATTTATGGTACTTTGTTATGACAGTCCTAGGAAACTAATACAGTGAGTTTGGGGAAATTGTTGCATTTTTAAGCAAAGAGATCAGGGAAGATATCACTGAGAGGATAACATTTCGGGAAAGACTTCAATAAGGTATAGAAGATGTCTCTAGATGAAGAAAGTTCCAGGTAGAGGGAACAGAAAATGCAAAGGTCCAAGGCAGGAGAATGCTTGGTATGTTAGAAGAACAGCACAGCCCAGAGGCCAGTGTGGCTGGAGCAGGGAGAGGAGAGTGGTAAGACACAATGGCAGAGCCATGACAGGAAGATGGAAGGAAAAAGGAAGGCAGGCAGGCAGGCAGACAGGCCATCACCAGTTCTTGAGGGTACTTAAACTGGTCACAGATTGTTGGTTTTTTAAGGATGAAACTCAAAACTATGTTTTAATAATCAGTGAGACTGATGGTGATTCCGCCCAGGCTGGCTCAGCTTGGAGGGCTAAATTTAAGTCTGGCCAGCAGAGGGAACCATCTGTCATTTGGAAAGACACAGAGCCTTCAGCCAGGAGAACATCAGAACACCTCAAGTAGCCATCATCTTCAGCACATGCCAGGGCCTCTGGAACCACAGCAAAGAGGAAACACACATTTACAGACAAAGTAAACTGAGAGTGTGCCATGGAAATCTTTTCGACTTTTCTAAAAGGCTCATTGCAATTTCCTAGAATCAAGGGAACAATATTCTTGGTTAGTTCTTCAGCCGACCTATCAATTTTGCTTTTCATATTTCTCTCTTTGAAGCAAGTTTGCTATTAACCTTATATGTTCTAGGGCTTGAGATTAGATTTTCCCTCCTCCAAAATAAAATTTTTGCTTTAAAAAGAAGTTAGCCTTATTATAATTAATTTTTGCCGCTAATAACCAAAAGATCCTCTTTGAGACAAGGAGGTCGTTCTTTAAAGAGGCTAGAGGTATAAAAAAATGTTCCTTCTCTTCCTGGAAGGAGAATCTACAGAGGAAAAAAGCTTGCAGAAAAGCTCTATAATCATAAAGTGAAAGTCCAAAAGATACATCCTCCTGGGTTACTATTGTGTGTTTAAAAATGCCTTATGTATACACTTATTTGAGAGACCTTAAGGCCTTGAAAAAGCAGTTAGCTAAAACCATAAAGAAAAACCTGGCAAACTCCATATCGTTACATAATGCAACTAGGAAGCAGAAAACACCAATTCAATGCTGGATCTGCCTCAACTGCTTCGCCCTATCATAGCCCTAATATTTAAATATCATCTTTTTGTGTGTGTCATCCTACAGATGGAGTTTGAGTTGGTTTCTATCAATAAAATAAACAAACAAAGTAAAAAAGGAATGTTATGAATAAGTTACCAATGTAAATGTGCTATTTTGTGCCTTTGAATTTGGGTGATGATAAACATGATTCCACACATGGAAATTAGACTTTTCAGAGATACTACACTGAATCATTTAATTTGTCTGAGTAAGTACTTATAATAACATGGCTGCTCTGCATTGCAATAAACATTGGATTTTCAAATGAAGAAATGAAGTATGTGATAATTCCTTATAAATGGAACTGCAGCAAAAGGCATTCCGCAAAGGGCTGTGCACCAGAGAAGATGGGTGAAAAAACATCCTACTCCAATCCCCTGAAAATGAAAACAAATCATCATATGACCTCTGGTTCTACATTTTCTGCTCTTGGCTAAAAACACAGCTGAAGCCTTACAATGAAATGATGGGAGACTTGCTATTTTGGGTTGTCACAAGGTATCTTATCACAGTACTCAGGATATATGAGGACACTATCTTTTCATTCCTCCACATCATGAATTGAGGATGCATTGGCAAAATTGCATAAGGAGGCAATTTTGCATAACTGTTAAGAATGTGCATCTGAATCCTGGGCTTTACCAACCAAATAAATGCATGACTCCATCTAAATCATTAATCTGTCTTCTTGTTCATTTTCCTCATTGGTAAAATTGGGATAATAATTTAGCCTTCCTCATAGAGTTATAAGGGAGTCAATTAATGTAAAGGGCTTGGAACATGGTTAGAATTCAAGAGTAGTTATCATCACTTTTTTTTTAATCATCATCGTCATCATTATTATTATGTTTAACAGTATCCTCATTTTCATCCATTACCCTCATTTCCATCCATTATCCTCATTTTCACAGCAAAGGAAATCATCAATGAAATGAAAAGGCAACCCACTGAATGGGAGAAAATAATTGCAAATCATATACCTGATCAGGGGCTAATATCCAAAATATACAAAGAATTCATACAACTTAATAGAAAAAAAAAATCTGATTTAAAAAACGGGCAGAGGACCTGAATAGACATTTCTCCAAAGAAGAATTACAAATGGCCAACAAGCACATGAAAAGCTTCTCAACAGTCACTAATCAGCAGGGAAATGCAAATCAAAACCTCACACGTGTCAGAAGGGCTATTGTGAAAAAGTCAACAAATAACAAGTGTGAAGGAGAATGTGGAGAAAAGGGATCCCTCATGCACTGTTGGTGGGATTGTAAATTGGTGAAGCCACTATGAAAAACAGTATGGAGGTTCCTCAAAAAAATTAAACTAGAATACCAGATGATGTAATGATTCCACCTCCCGGCATTTATCCAAAGGAAACGAAAACACAAATTCAAAAAAATATATGTATCCCTATGTTCATTGCAGCATTATTTGCAATAGATTTCTATCACTAGATGAATGGATAAATAAGACATGAGATACACACATACACACGCATGCACACACACAGTGGAATATTATTCAGCCATAAAAAAGAATGAAATCTTGCCATTTACTACATGGATAGACCTCAAGGGCATTATGCTAGTGAAATAAGTCAGACAGAGAAAGACAAATATTGTATTAAGAGAGGAGGCATCTGAAAAATGCAAAGGAAAGGGCTTGCAGAAATGACCAACTCAGCCGGTTATAGATTAACCACAGCCTATAGGTCTTTAAATGGCCTTATGGAAACTCTTGCCACACGTAAGGATCTGTAAATAGGTAGGACTGGTGGTCCGGGAATTCTTTCCCCCTTGCAGCCCCGACCTGAAACTTCCCCTCCCACCCTGAGTCACGAAGTGCACGTAAACCCTCAGACAAAGGAATCACACGCCCCTTGCATGGACACTGCAGGGGTGTATAAGCTGTAAGAACTCTAACCGGGCGAGTACGTGCTTTTGTGCTGTCTACAGCCTCATGTGCTCCGCTGGCCTAATAAGCTCTCCTTCCTATAACAAA